TCGTGTAAGGGATTTTTCGGGTGTACTTATAAGGAAGGGATTTAAGGGGCGAAGGTGAACTTGGTTCTGGTGACGAATTGTTGGACAGGACTTTGAAGGGACAGTCAGCGGTCGATGAGTAACTTGGGTTCATCTTAAGAATAACTTGGTGACTCAATGTCGATAGGCGGTTGGTTATCCGATAATGTATATCTACTTCATACAGCGCGGTACAATAAATGAGAAAAGAATGGACGAGGAAGAAATAAGGTAAAGAATCTTCGTAGTACAAAATAACATAATAAACACGTTCCTGGGATGTCCTCAGCACCCCACATAAACTTTTATCATTCTTTTGAATAATATCTTCCTATAACAGCGCAGCTGAGCAATGTAACAGAATATCTCATAAATAACACAACTGGAGTGCTGAAAGTACCCTGTATACTTAATTAAAGTTGAGTAAATAGAATTTTTCGAAGGGTGGAAATATCTCTGACAAATTTCCTTGTATTTCTAAATTTAAGAGGAAATTCACGATTCCTCCTACATACTTTTACATTTTTTACGAAAAGAATCCTACTCTGATATTTGTTTTTCATGAGAGAAGAAATTAACTTAAGTCCGTTTTTATGAAAAGTTTATTTAAATCTGGTTCTGTTGGATATTTCGTCCTCGAGTGGACGTTGGAAGTGCTAAGATGAAAAATGAATCAACACGTAGAGAAGGGATACCCTGAACAGAGCCTGCAATTTTGGGTAGGAAAGAGGATCTTTTGTTTATAAAGAGTCAGAGTAGATCATTTTCTGACCTGACTTCCCATTCCATTCTTGTCGAACGTTCTCTCCAGTAAATCTCTAGTTGAATAAAGAAAGTTTGTTTAAAGGTTAAGAAAGACGTTAGTTTATTAACTATCCACTGTCCAAATCCGATAGGTTTTATTTAAAAAAATAAGGAAAAGTAGTCTATTCGGGTAAATATTTGTGGGAGAAGGTCTAGTTAGTTCAGGATGACCACCGGTGGTCTTGGAGCAACGTGAAACGTGAAAGAATTTTCCTACTAGATATGATCAGCGCAAACTGACCTAACCGGAGTGACTAGAATGACTATGCCGCGTCTCCTGTACTTGCGTAATTCTTTCGCTCTTGCAACGGGACTTCTCCTATCTGCGCTCACATTTATCCGTCCTGCGGTATCGATCAGACTTTTGACACCGCGCTATCATTCTAGTTGCTCGTTTATCGACCACGTAAAACGTACCTCGATTAATCCCCCTAAAACTACTTTCTAATTTATTCGAGGGCCATTGAGGATTTGAAAATCCATTTTTCTCTTATCTCTTGAAAAAATGTAACGTGCACAATACGTGTGTAACATTTTCGGGAAAACGTGAAAAATTGACAGAGTTAAAACGAAGCTTGTTTGAAAATTCTGATTTCGAAATTTGCAAAACGGATTTCTCGAGAAATGGTTGATCGACTGACTTCCAATTTGATATAAATTTTATTACGAGCCACGGCTCCTCATAGATAGAAAAATAATTTTGAATTTTTTCGTGTGACTAAGAAAAAGTCGAGTTCCAATATCATACCCCATAATTTTCCTAACACGGATTGTTTCTTCCCAAAAAAATTCTCCAAATATCGCTAAATGTACCACAAAAATTTTCGTCTCAAAAAAATTCACAAATATTATAAATTTTTCTCTCCCTACAGCTATCAGTGTCGTACCCCGTAACTTCCTTACTACCAATTATTTCTTTACGAAAAAATTCTCAGACAATCTCCAAGCACCGCTGAACGTACCCACAAAATTTCAACTGAAAAGCTGTTTTACTTTCCTCCAAAGAAATTCGCCTAGAATAGCCCGTTGCAGACCTCAGTCTCGTCAGACACCCCCTCGAAAGGTCGCACTCCGTTGTTTGTAACAAAGTATGCTAATTGTCGATATGATTACGTAAGCGAAAAGTTCGGTCGCACGATGCAATTATGCTGTCAAGAGACCGTGCAACTTACATTGTGGGCCACGTGAGCGTTCCGCAAACAAAACGCGCGAGCCCCTCTGGCCATAGATTATGGAATTCCGAAAACAAGACTCATCTGTGCTCCCTGGAATGCTCACTTCTACGACTTTTATATCAATCTTTCTGTGAACTACCACGAGGCGTCATCACCTGATCTCACTTTGTAATTTTAATGCGCTGCTACGTGTGTAATCGTCGTTTCAACAACGTTAGAGAAACATTCTTTTGAAATATACATACACCGTTCGATTTAATTATTTTGCTTCTTTTCGATCGAAGAAAATGGGAACTGTTTTAAACGTTCCATTTAAATAATCGAAAAAGGAATTGAAGACGGTGAAATTGGACGGTTTAATGAATATTTCAAGGGGATTGTATTCAAAAGTTTACGGATGCTTGTTTCCTGTACAAGCTTAATTATTCGTCGATCGAAGTGCGCGATCTTTGTAACAGAATTTTAATAAAGATACCACAAGGTCGCGTTAACGCTAGAAAGCGTGAACCAAGTGATCCGAGTTTCCTCGTTTTTACGTAACATTGATTATCGATTGCGATTCGCGCGCATTTTCGTCGGTCCTCGACACCTGTGTCATCAGACGCCGTTAATCCTTCTCCGGTAAACGCGCGAGAAAGTAACACTTTCGTACATTTTTAGCAACTTTGGATGACGTTTCGAAAAATACAGTCGAAGATAGGATTATTCCGCGATATTGGAAAAAGTATTTTTCTAGATGCAGGAATCAGGTTACGTTTGATCGTACGATCAACAAACAGAAATCGATTTCGTGTGACTAGGATCTGTGTCACGCTTTCGTGTCAATACGATAGCGTATATACGTACATACTGTGTATGGGAACAGTGGTCGCCACGTGTCGCGAGTGAGAAATTCGTTGTTTAAAGAAACTGACAGAAACAGCTCACTTTTTTCAACCTTAACCCTACTGCGTTCTTCGTTTTGACTGCGTTCTTCGTTAAGACTTTTGGGTCAAAAAGGATCTAAGACCTTATGTGACATATGAACCTAGACAATAAACGTTTAAAATAATGTTAAGCAACGTAAACTCGATAACAACAAAAATGACTAAAAATATAAAAAGTCGGTGGGTCAAAAAAGACCCGAAGACCGCTCTAGGGTTAATAACCCACCCTTCGTATATACGCGTTAGATGTGCAAATACAATAAATACGAACGTACTATAGAACTTTTTTATGGAGCTACCAGGGAAGGTTTGCTTTGATCGAACTTACTTCTCGACCACCCGATATGTAGCGCACTACACGTTCGTATATTTCGATCACCAATTAATTGTGAAACACACGATGCACACGTTTGCGACAAATTTGGAAACGAACCCTGCACTCGTATAATAATTAGCTTCGATTTCGCAACGATTACGCATACAGGGTGTCTCGAAAGTACTTCGAGAATATCTACTGAAAAAAATTCTACCGACGGGAAAAGATTGTCTAACACTAGTCTCCAAATTGAATTTTCCAAAAAAAAAAAAAGGTGCCAGAATTTCTCGTTGAACGTTCTTCCAACACACCCCGTATAATACGACACGCTTGATCCGGTCACGAGGCGCCGTGTCGAAGCCAAACACCTTGTTGTATACACCGGAGCATTTTACTCCACGATTCTCGTTCCACCTCTCGTTTCACATCCGAGATCGAAACACAACTTTCAACTTATCCCATTCCCTTCCTCGGTCCTTTTTCCGAAGAACACTTTTGCGAAATTCCAACGAGTTGTTTGAGAGAGAAAGGACGAGGACTTACCTGAACGGAGATCGCTGGAGGAAGACATGGCGACGGGGATTGTGACGGTACACGGTGGCACTGTACACCGAGGGATGCGCGAGTGATCGAGATCGATTCGACGAGGAGCAGTGCACGGCCGCTCGTCCCGATTGTTTGTGAACGGGCACGATCGTACGCACTTTTATCGCCGCGGCACGTGGTCCCTCACGAGCCTCGTTGATTCAACGTCGAACCTCCTCCACGTACCCGCGACTCCCCCTCCATCGCCACATCTATTGGCCGACACTCGCGTGTGCGCGCGCGCGTTTATTTTCGATTCCAGAGAAGCGAGTATATTTTTATCTCGTGCAACTAACTCACGACCGGGACCGTAAACAATGTACATAGGTGAGACGCCACGAGGTGCGCTGCTGGGAAGTTCGCAAGATACATATATACAGAGTGACGCGAAAGTTGAGGTTAGGAAATCGGATAGAATGTGGGACGTTGTTTTCTTCGCGACTTTTCGAATGGTTGGATAGCGAATGTTGACGGTGTTTCGTGGAATCGTCGATAGTGTTGAAATTTTGAACATTTTGACAACGCTGGGATATTGTGAAAATTTGCAGTTTTTGGCTATTGGTGGGAATTTTTTTTATGGATTTGTAAGACACAGTGTAGACTGTTAACCAAATGTATTTTATTTTTCAACATCCGAGGCTACTAAGATGGTTCGGATGTCCGTCTCGGTCGACGGTTATAACCAAAGTGCCCTCTCCCGCGTCCTATGCCTGCGTCGCTCCGAAAAACCGTTGGAGCCTCCTAACCCAACTGTCCTGGGAAAGGGCTTAATTTATGACACCCTCAAGTGTCCGCGCGCTTTCTCTTCCGGTGACCCTGGGTGACGAAGACCAGGCCACCACTTCGTCGCTTAAATCTCGCGTTCCTTGCGGATTTTTCGAGAGTTAGAATTTCTATTGTACATTTGCAAAATTTTATATTGCAAAATGTACACTTCAAACTTTCACATTCAGGTTAAAATTTTCAGATAATTCACATGCTCTTTGAATTTTTAATTTCGAATGTGAAATTGTCGAGACCGTTTAATTCTCTGCTTAAAAAGATGCATTTTTAATCCAAAAAGAGGCGAAAGAAATCAAAGCACATAAAGGGTGGCGGTAAAAAAAGAACTACTCAAGTTTCTTAAAACGTATCAAATTTATTTCTCTGCCTCTTACAGCTCATTCTTTTTCTCTCGTCCCTCTGAATGTCCATCCTGGACCATCCTCGATCCGAACACGCGCTATAAATATATATTACAAAAAATCATCTCGATCAATAGATCGAGGAAAAAAGATTTTCTTAAAGGCAATGTCGTAATCTTTTTTTGTCTGCTTCGCGACAGTTTTGTTTCTCAAACGGATTGTTTTTCTTTCTCGAAAAAAGAAACGATTTCACGAGTACGAGGAAGATTATATTTTTCCTCCGTAATCTCCCCCTTCCTTTGTTTGGAGGTCCTTCCGTCAAAATAACAGAAACCCTGACCTGAATTCCGCGGTGGTTCTAAATTTAAGAAAAAATATCGAAGCAGAAGACGCAGAAGAAGTAGAAGAGGAAAATCGTTGTGAATCGTGCTGGAAATCAGTCTAAAGCAACCGAGGAGTCCTCCCCGCATGGCTCTCATCCCTCGACCTCCACCTAGTCCCGCGTGAGAGCTCCTCCACTTCCGGTCTGCGCGACACGATTAGGATTTCTCGCTCGAATTGTGAACCACGGACCAACCGGAATGCAATTCTGCTCGCTGAAAGCAGAGAGGACAGCCGATTAACACTGGCTCGAAACCCTTTCTCCTCGGTTTTCTCCGTTTGGCCAGCCACTTCCGGTGAAGTGGACGGGATAAAGCGGAGAATTGTGAGTCTCAGGCAGAGACAGGAGAGCGGAGGATTTTTTTCTGCGAATTTTAGAAATTAGATCGAATCTTGAAACGGGATTCGAGGCTAATCCAAGTTCTTAGGGACACCGAGTATACGATTGTTTCAAACTTAGTGCAAAGATTATAAAAATGAAAGTTACAAAATATCCTTCAAAAAAATCTAGAACTCCAGCCTCGTTGCTTAAAATTTTCACAAAACTCGAAAATTGCACCAAAATCATAAGGAATTATAAAAAAAAATTGCATCTACTGTTCGTTCAAAATAAGAATAACCTCGCTCTCGGACCGATTTTCCTCCGTTCTGCGCATAGCAGAGGGTAAGACGGTGAAAAACGTAGGCGGTTAAGTGGGGGTTTGGACGTTTTAGCCCTGCCTTATGCACGTCCCATGCGCGAAATGAGGTTATTCTTATTTTGAACGAAGAGCATATCGTTTAGCCTAATTCCACAACCTACCATCATCATCCATCGTCCGGGTCGCCTACTCGCACTGGCCAGAATCATTCTGCGCCCTGTTGCACACGAACAAGCACCTGTAGAGCAGTGCTGCCACGATGGCGCCAGTTATAGGGCCCAGCCAATAGACCCAATGGTTGGTCCAGTAACCGTTCCACACAGCTGGACCCAGTGTCCTCGCTGGATTCATACTACACCCGGTATATGGTACGAACACCATGCACAGCACCGCGATGCACAGTCCGAACCTTATAGGAGCTGAATCTGTGTTCTTGGAATTTCTACAGTCCCATAAACCACAGGTGAAGAAAACCAGGATCCCAGTAGCTATGATCTCCGACATGACACCCTGGAAATTGGTCAGATTCACGTGTATGTCCGTCATGCAGAAACTGCCGGAGCCTGTTTCCGGAGTGGTGTATATCAGCTCTAGCGGAGTGATCACCTGGGTGAAAAAGATAGAAACGAAACAGTTACAAACACGTCGATATTTGTGAAGATTTGTAAAATTTGTTCAATTGAAAATTTCGACGGTACCCTGAGCAAACCGTAGCCTATGAGTGCTCCGAGACACTGTGCGCCTATGTAGAGTAGGCACATGGGCAGGGACTTCTTTCCTAGGATAAGGGATGCCACTGTGACGCATGGATTAATGTGGGCGCCACTCACGTGTCCAACGCACTGGGGAGAAACGTTTAAAGTAGCGACAAATTTGCAAAAGTTCGAAGATGATTTTTTTCTCCTGAACTTAACGCAGTTATCGAGTCCCCTGATTCTGATTAAATTCAAGGCCCGGTTGGCAATTGCGATCGTGGATGTATTTTAGGAATGTCGAAATTAGGGTCAGACTGAATGTGACCGGAATCAATTAAGCTACAAATAATTCACCGAAGATCCGTGAAACTTTCGCTTTAATTTTTCATAGACCACGCTGTATTTCTGACATCCACTGTACGCAACAATGTTCCGACCGCGCAAAGTTCGCCAATTTAAAAAAAAAAAGAGAGAGAGAGAGAAAAATTAAAGAGTATTTATTTGGAAAATTTCAATTATTTTCCAAGTTGCTTTGAAATTTTCACCTGAATGGCCACCATGACAGCCAAGCCAAAGGTTAGGGAGACCTGCAGAACGGAGGGACTAATGCCCAAGCTGCCAATGCAACCTGTGCATCCGATGAAGACCAAGATAGCGGTGCCAATGGCCTCTCCGAGAGCAAGTGTGAGCGTCTCCCAGCCGGAGGCATCTTCTTTCATCAAATTGCTCAGCCCTGAAACGGAGAACAGGAATATGACAGTTTTGAAAATGACAATCACAGGAGAATTCGGATCGAGAAGGTTCACGATCGATCAGTGGAGTCGGTGTCTTTAGATATTGCAGTCTTACGCTAGCTGAACCTGCGAGGCAATTTTTGTAAGGAAAGTGGACGCACAGTCATTGCGGGGCACACAGTCGTCGGAAGACGTCGCAGAACTCCAGGCCATGTTCTCGATAGAAAAACAATTCACTAATGGCGAGAAAGTGGATACGAGTTCGAGCGAGAAAAATGGCAGTGGAATCTATAGCCTGTGGATATGTACGAGCAATATTGGAAATAACTTAAATAATAACTGGTACAAAAATTGCTCGAAAAAAAAAAATGAGTTTTCATTTATTCTTTCAGTAGGAGGGTCCTATTCGTCAAAATTCAATCGTCGACAATTTTTATTAAATTACTAACTGTATAACTAGAGAAGATACACTACAGTTTCCACAGGTCCACTGTTACGAGATCCTTCAAAACAGATAAATAAATTTCGATCAACACATTGCGAGACGGCTATTAAAAAATATTCTACGCTGAAAATATTGCTCGATATGCAAAGTCATCGTCAAAATACACCCATCAATATCTTTGACACCATGGTAAACGGTGGCGCTATCTGAATACAAATGTAGCATGGACACCAATCTCCCACAGAAAGAGCTTTAACGAACGGGACACCCGTTGAATGCGTAATGCCGACAACCATAGAAACGTTCATATCACAGAGACACCAAGCCTGATATTCGAGTCAATGATAGCGAGCACGTGCGAGATTTTCCATCGTTGGACGTGGAGGGGGGATTAGGTAGAGATCCACGCTCGATCAACTGCTATTTTCTTAATTACGTCGGAGGGGCCAGGACTGCGACTCATTAAGGCAACCGCGAGCGTACACGCTCGATCGATGCCGCTTGCAGATGGAATTGCCCTCGAATCGTGCAAAATTTCCCCCCACCGTTGCTGTTAAGACACGTTCTACACGGTGGAACCGATCTGGAGGATACAGGTTAGGTTAGGTCAGTTTCTATTTTCTATGAATTTTTCAGTCAAATTTTCTGTTCATCGGGGAAGATTTAAATGGCACACCCTGTACGTTCCGTTGCGATTTGCAACTTGAAAGGACAATTCAGTAGCCGTAACTAGTGAGTACATGTAGGTTAGAAATTTGTTGTATTTGTTTGGATTAATTTCGAAGGTTAGAAATATTACGTGAATCGACTTTGAATACGCTATAGGCTAGTTTCCATTTGTCATGGATGCACACTGGCGCGGGCCCAAGGGCCACTTCATGAATAATAGAATTCCAGACTTCCAGAAATTTTCTTTTCAACGAGTGCCCATGTTTTTCGAAAAGTATGGTATAATAAGGTTCGAGAATTCTCATTGGCCGGTTCTCATGCATACTTGAAAATGGTTCTGCTCTATTTATCGTGGATACGAGCGGCAATCTCGGGTCAACGTTACGTATACGTGCGCCAGAAGTGATAAAGGGAGTATCAATGATGAAGAAATCAATAGCATAGGTCAAACGACTGGCAACGCGCCGACAGAACGATGAGTTTCTGGATAAACTTCAAATACCGGGCGGCACTTTCATTCATCATTTAAATATACCGGCTAACGCTGCAAATTCTCTTCTTAAAAGTACTCTATATGTACTAACATTGAACGATATCACCTTTCGACATAAAATTATGCATCTCCGTTAATTTTCCAAATTTTTGTTCAATTTCCTTTGTCAATATTCCGAAATGCACGGAAAATATGTACAAAAAATTTCAAGTTGATGGACCTTGTAGGTTCGGAGAAAAAAATTTCTAAACGAAGCTTCCTGTTCGAAGAACTCTGAACAATCTATAAATTAATCTGAAAATATTTGCCTGCTTTCCAAATCATTTAACACCAATATACCAAATGAATCACCCTATATATCTAACTTATCACCCACAAATACTTCCTCGAACCGTATCTCAAAACGTGACACTTTAGGTGAATCAGCCAGCACCAAAAATTCCATTCTCCTAGATTTCCATATCCCAAGAATGTACAAATCAAAGTATAAATATCGTGGTGTCGTTTTTACGCGAAGAAATCGTGACCAACGTGACAGTTACAGTGTTCGACGTTGAAAAACCGCCAAAAAGTGGCGTCGAAATTCACGATATACACTTTGATCGAAATATTTCGAAAATTAGCAATTATAGTCGAAGTTCAAGAATGTATGGCCAACTTTACGACATGTCAATTCTGTGGCGAGCGCACACGTGCGTATGCACTGGCACGGAAGTTATGCTTGGGCACGTTTGGCCCAGAATTACAGTGGAGTTCTCGTGATTAACCGTGCGCCGGCCGGATATAATTAGAAGGCAGCACGTGTCACGCACAATTTCCATCAGGGTCTCATTGAGAACGACAGTGATCAGTCATTGACGTTCACGTCGCCTCCCAAGACCATTACGAGATAATAGAAGCTGAAGCATCGAAAGAAAAGTGGTTTCAGCGTTGCACCTAACCTATAGGGTCATGTGATCACCATGTTTGGGGAAAATGGCGACTCAAATCGTGGAATTTATTTTTTTTGTAGGGTTGGTGTTACATAACCTGTAAGATCACGTGGACCAGTCGCCATATTTTTATACACAGGGGTATTTAATTTTACAGGATTAATTTTTCCATACTTTTTGAATATTTAACTAATAATTTTGTTAGTTCAATGTTTTATAATATTCGTTTTCTGGGCTCATTGATAAATTGAACTTTTTGACGTGGCTATAAGTTAGGTTAAGTGTATTTATTGAAACAATCGGTACATTCGATATTTATTTTCTGAAATGGTTGGTGCTGGATGGGAAGAACCCGATCGGATAACCAGATGGAAAATGAGTTTAAGTATTCGGGCCAAACTGGTTCTTATATCAAGATTCCTGATGGCTACGATATGCAAATCAGCCGTTTAATGGTATTATGGAAATCGGTGCACGCATTAAGCGAACCGTATTACCATGAACATTATTTTAAGCTAGTGTTTACACTTCATTAATAAATATTCAATTTAAAAAAGAAACTAACGAAACCAGAGACTCCCTAAAATAATTCAATTACCTTCCACGAAAATTTGTATTACATAAAAACGTGATGCAAGCGATGTGAATTATTTTAAAAAAGAAAAAATGAGGAAGTAAAATAAATATAATTCGTCGAAGCGAGTTTTCCTTTCTCGTTGATCGTATCAGTCCACCATAATTGCCAGTGGAATTACGAGGGGGATAGGTGTTACCGGTAATTGCGATGAAAGTCAGCCACCATAGTAATTAGCCCTCGAGAAAGTAATATACACGTTATTTAGAAACTAGTGAAAGGACCTTTCCACGAAAGAAATCAACAGTTTCCCCTCTTTCAGCGTCAATTAATAATCTATGGTTCCCCATCATCGCGCCATCTGTCCCCGTAGCGAGGGAACCATTGATCGGCTAATGTTTATCATGGATCGATAAAGCAGGAAACGATTAAGTCAACAGAAAGAAACGTAACGATGGAAAGTACGATAAGGATCAGTTTTTTCACCGCGTAATCTCAAATTAATTCATGTACCGCACCACGAAGCCTCGTTTTTTATTTTTTAATTACGCGACTTTTTCGTCCAATTAGAGTCTCGTAAGTGTGTGGAGAAGTGCACCGAATGAATTACAGTCTAGTTCGTATCGTAATAGAAACAATGGCGCGGTTGTTGAATTAATGGCGCCGCCCACGGACGGGAGTAGAAAGCGTTTGGCGAATTAATTTCTGTTTCACAGCGATTCGACCACTCTGTGGACGATACAGTTCACGTATTCGCGCGAAAGCTTCCAAGATCGAGGACTACTTCTTGCTCGAGCGTTCCACGCTCCAATTAACGCGGTTTCTGCACTCTGCGGGACACGTCCGCCATACTAAATACCCAGAACCCCCTTCGTCTGGGAGGAAAAAGCTGTCCCTGTCTAATTGAGCCGCGCTTTGAACGATTTTCATCGTTAATTTTGCGAAATGGTTAGGTATTTAGGTCGAAATTTTCAGCAGAGAAAATTAATTAAATTATTATGCTAGAATTGTGGGTCATTTTGTGACTCGTGTCGTACACTCTAGGAATTAAATATTAAGAAATTTAAATAAAAGTGATTTAAGAATTATTTTCAGGAAAAATTCGGGTTAGAAAATTTGAAAAAATGTATTGTGGGTTATTTTGGGATACTGATATTACATGTGCTACATTTCGATGCCAAAGAAAATGAACGAATTTGAGCAATATTATATTGTGGACTATTAATAAACCATATGATGTATCATAATAAAAAAAAAAAACTGTACAGACTTCAATGAAAGTTCATCGTGAGTTACTGTGGGTTATTTTCGCTCATTATGACCCAGACAAAATTACTTAATAATCCTCGCTATATAACTATATACTATATAAACTATATTGCGAAGAATAAATCCTGAACCACTGTAGATCATAGTAACTCTGCCAAAATCCCCTCCTCAGAGAACTAACTAATAAACAGACAATGTTCGACTAAAAATAAATCGTGGATTGTAAAAATAAATTAGAAATTATCACTCGAGTATCTTGAAATGGCCAAGCAACGAGGAATTATTTAATCCTATAAATCTCCTAATTAATCATTTTCAAAACACTCCAGGCTACATATATATTTATGCAGTGAAGATGCCGCCGATAAATCTGCAGCTTTATCCTATTGATTGAATAGCAAATTAACCTCACAGTTTACACTGTGTCCCTCGCACACACACAAGTGTATACAAGAGTGTTACAAGTGTGATTGTGGGTCAAGTTCGCGGTGAACGTCCTGAAACCGGTCATCATTCCACTCTTCCCCTTCGAGTCTTCGTTTTCTGGCCAGATTAACGGTGCCCAATCGACAGATTCGACATCAGAGGAGGGGATCTCGTGGTTAAGGTTAGGGACACTCCTCGAGGTTATGTTTCTAACCTTCTTTGGGTTGAACACCTGTTCCAATGGTGCATTCTGCTCGAGTTTCCAGTCAGTTCGCTTTTGGTGGTAATTAGTGTATTCCGGAGTGTAGGTAGAGTGAAGGAGGAAGAGATGTATGGGCTGGTTTCTCTGAGAGGAAAAAATTCTCGAGGATTTCTCCACGTGAGAGACAGATATGCTTGAGAATTGCAGTGATTGGCAACGAATTTCTCAATTTCGATTCGTCGTAGACGAAGAATAACTACTTTCGAATTTTGAGAAAAATATTTTGAAATTTTTTTTTACGTCTCAGACTGAAATTCACCGAGTGAAATTTACTCCAGTTGCTCGAGATTTACAATTTAAGAGAATTTGAACATTCTTTGAACATCGTCGAATTATAGACGTAAAATTGAATATTTCTGGAATAATTCTGGAAGCAGTTTTCCCCGCGAAATTTGTAAATTTAAAAGAATTTTACAGAAACGTCGAAATGAAAATATCTCAAGCTCATTTTTACAAGTTAAAATTTGATAGAAGTGAAATTTTCGAACTTACCATCAGAGAATTAAAAGAAAATGCCTAACCTAGAAAGAAATCCTAACCTAACGATCAGCCGCGTGTTATGAAAAATCCTAGACCATTTCATCGGCGTCTTCGAAAGTGCTATGGCTGCATCAGTTTCTCGTTCGATCGGCGACTTTTTGCAGAACGGAAAGAAAGTTTCGCGCGAAAGTATCTGGAACGTGGAAAACGAGGGAAATCGCGTGACTATCGAGCCGATATCGCTTGAAATCATGGTCGTCTATGGGGCACGTTGTTTTACTGGATTTACATGACACTTTGCTAAAGGAATCGTGAGAACAAATCCCACGACGATACCTATAAATCACCGGGGACAATCAGCCAGATAATATCGTTCCGTGAAAATGGGCCTTTAGGTTCTTCGTTATTTTCCAGCCGTCCTCGCCGATTAGTACGAATCGAACTAGTCATGGGGAAACGATAATTGATGGTTAGTTAGACGTTCGGTGGTTAGGATTGTTAGGAATTAGCAAGATTAGAGCGCCAGAGTTTGGCTTTAAGAGGTGTAACGGTAATTCTTGTTGAGAATAGGTCTTGGTCTCTTCGGTCGTGTCACTTCGAACCTTGGTTCTTCTCGAATCGTGGGAAAAATGACAACCCATTGACCTTCTTCAAGAGCCTGTTTCATTACGTTCCAATTCTCAAAATGGGATGAAAAAATTCCGATGAGAATTTATTTCATAAGATAGTTTTTAATTCTCGTTGCAAATGTTTTAACTAACTTTGAAAATAATAATCGACCGTTCTTCTACTATTTCGAAATTTAACGAAAAATTGTTCGATTTAACCGTAGACAAAAATTAACGAATTAAAATCTTTTTTCACTATTTTACGGTTCAATTGGGGGAAAAATGTCCAATCTGAAAGATATTAAACATCGAATTTGTCCTCGAGAGCCGTAGTAGAAATTAAGCGAAGGAGTGGACTTGGTGAAGGAGTTTAATGGAGATAGAACGGGGTGAAGTTGGTCCAACGATACTTCAGTTTCATTATTCTGACAGTTATCAGCTAACTGGCATTAACACAAGTGGCAATAACTGTTCATTAACGTGGTGCTAATTGTCTGACACGACACGCTTGAATCGAGCCATCTTCCGGGTTATTGTTCACCTGTCTGCCCGCCATTGACACTTTCCAGCTCCCCGATGCATGCAAATGCAGCTTAACAGCTGTATTCTTTGGCTACTATCCTAGTTTCGTTAACAACAAAATTATCAAGTAGAATATCTCATCAAGCGTCCCATCACGGACGCTAAGAAGTTATTTAAACATTTTTTCGAAGAAAGTTATTTAAATTTGTGAGAGTACGAAATCAGAAATTCTTGAATTTTCGAGAGGAGAACCAGGAGTGAAAGATTCGAAATTCAGAATTTCAATTAACATTGCAATTTGGAAATATCCTACCAATTCGCTATATTCATTCACTTTCAATCGTTTCCAATCGTCGAAATATCAACGAGAAATTTTCAAATTGAATTGATCCAATCACCGTATCTCGAAAAATCGGCAAAAGTTCAAACAGCCTCGAAAAATTCCCTAGACCGCGAAAGAAAGACCCTAGACGCGTGCTCCCGGTATCGGAACGATTTGTCAATGGGAAGCTGGCTTCCATGCAAATTGTTGCGCCGTTTTTCACGGTAATGGGACATCTGTTGCGTGCAGAAGGTATCTGTGCGTGTGTAGGCCAGCTTCCGTTCCGCTCTCTGTGCAGTTCCGGTCGATCGGGGGATCTCCCCTAACCCGATTTCCTGAAATGCACCTCGCGTCTCGTCACGTGCGTGTGTACTTTCTTTTCTTTCACTGGTTCTTTCACCTTTCTATTCGAGCCACCGCGCTCGAAAATTTTTACCACGATTCGATGGGGAATTTTATCATGATCAGAAGGGAACCACTCCGCCGATGTTCCTTCGGTCTTCCTTTCATTTATTTTCTTTTCCTTATTTCTTCTGCTCTCGTGTAGCATTTTAACGAAGGAAAAAGAACGTCGGCGAGTCTGGGTGAACGAACTTTCGTCAACATTTCACTTTGGCTTGATTGATCGCGCGGATTGATCCTACTTTTTAACATGGAATTGCTCTTCTTTTTATTTTAGTTTCATCGGTCGATGCAGTGAAACGTCCTTTCCAAAACGGCGGAGCCAATCGAGAGGAATCATTTAAACGCTGTACGGAAATTTCTGTACCGAGAGGTTGGAAAGATTCTTCTTTTCTAATTAAAATTTACTCGAAATCCGGTCAAATCCAAGTCGTGAAATTTTCGAAAAGTTCACAGCGAAGAAGAAATTTTCATTCAGAATGCGTAAATTACAAAGAATTTACAATCTGTTCGAGATAAATCGAAATCTAAATTGTCAAATCCCTCCGAAAGTTGGAAATTATTAAAACGTGTAATCACCGAAAAATTCACTTATTCCAAAACACTCGTTAGAAATGAGTATCAATTACAAAGAAATCTCCGCGAAATAAATGGAAATTCAAATTGACAGATCCTTTCTGAAATTCCGACGGTTTTATTCGAGAGAGAGAGAGAGAGAGAGAGGAAAGATTAATGAGTGAAAAATTCACTTACACGGAGATTTCAGCTTTTCCTTGGCAGCTTGGATGGTCGAGCTCGATCTTTGCGCGATTCCTGTAATGTTCTTCGACTTGCCCACCGAACTGTCCGTGATGGTGCTGATCGGTATAACCGAGACGCCGCCTTGTTCCATATCGACGAGATTTATCGACGTCGATCGATAGCCTGCCTGTCTGCTGGAATTTATTGTTCGTTTCATCGATCTCTGTGTATACATACATATAATACCGCATTCTATACAGAGTGTCTCAAACTTCGAAAGTTCGAAACTGTTAATCTTTCCAGAGAGCACGTTTTCTAATTAGAAAAAAAGTTAAATAATTTCTTACGTAGTTACATCTTCTTCGCTTTCATTCGACAACAATTAAACTGTTCTTCTTGTTAGGAGAGTATATAATGAATTACGCTATTCACCGTATTTTCATATTTCTTCCATCAGCAACATTGGAATTTAAAAAAGAAAAACAAACACACACATGTGCGTGTCGGTATCCTTGAAAGGGTTAAAGATAGGAAAAAAGCGAAATTTACACGTTCTACATCTCTATGCTATCTTTACGAATTTTTTTCCATTCTTTTTTTAATTATTCGAAGATATAAACTCGGAAATTATTGCGATTTTAGAATCGCAGAGTTACAGACTTGAAATTCAAATGAACCAGTATTTGCGCCGTTGCAAATGTTTCTCACTTCTGTTAAGGCACTCTGCATGTAACGTTAATCGACGAGTGGAATTTTCAGCGAGAGAAAACGCGTTTCGCGTAAACACGGGTAAAATGGCTCTTTCCAGGAGATTTGTCATTGGCGATGAAATACAATTCGATTTTCGTTATCAGTGAGTTTGAAAACGGGGTCGTAAATCTGCAACGAACAAGAGAAATAAGGCGATGCGCCGTAAATTTCTCGCGGAAGCGACGTTCCGGCGCCTCTGTGGCGATACTGACGAAGAAACGACAAAATTTCCCGAATTTTCCATCATTTTCAACCGTATAACTATCCTTTCCTGTCTTTACGAAAATTTCGAATCTCCTTCAATTGCGTATACTACGTTAGAATTTTGACCAATATGTTCGACCTAGATCTTTCTCAATTTTTTTTCCAAACATTGCAGCTATTTCTCAAATATTTATCAAGTATTCAAAGTATTTCAAAATTGAGAAAAATTACCGTATAACAATATATCCTCGGCGTTTCACAGTCAGAGGTATTTTCGAAGAAAAACGAAGCACAAAAATCGCACGCCTAATAACCCTCGGCACGAAAATTGACGACACTCGAGCATCTCGAATTTTTAACGCTGCAATAAAAGTCGATAGTCTCTCCAATGTAATAAAACGTTTTTTTTTTTTTTAACAGTTTCCAAGCTTCGATTGCAGTTCTGCAATTTATTTTGTTTCGCCCGGTGATTCGCGTTATTCCTTCGAAAAATACACGAAACCTGGGCGAAAGTAAATCTCTGTGCGAGACAAGCCGGGAACAATTCACACGAATCTAACGCAGTCCCTTTTAGTGGTTAAATTCTAGCGAAATGACGGGAAATCGAGCATATATCGTTCAAATAGAAGCCAGTTAATTATCCAACCCTCCTCTGCTCCTCCCCACCACGCATCGGTTACACACTTTGACGACGCGGATAATTAAATTTCGCTGGTCGAAACGAACTCGTCTAATTGATTCGAATCCTACGACCCGGGCCAGGATTAATGGTCGACGTTAACGAGCAATTATTCGACTAATTACCATCGAGCAGGAAGAAAGAAGATAAATAAAGCAAGCAGTGTGGTTTTCGGGGTCGACAGTTAACCGTTCGAGTACAGATACTCGAAAAGAAATTTAGAAAAATTGCACCTGCTAAATTGGCGAATTGCAAAATTCCACAGTGAATTAATTAACAATATTTGAAATTCCACTTTGTTACCACTTTGTTTCACTGCTGCGTTAAGATTGCCCAATCTGTTGCCGCAAGAGTGAATCTGGCAGAGAAAAAGAAGGTCCCGCTCACGTGTGGCTAAATCATGTGCACCGGAACTCGAATGCAAATTCTGCGCAATCTGCTAACCCAATCCCCCGATAACGACCTAATCTCTTCTCTGGCACGGTATAAACAGCAATTGTTATTAGGTGAACGTGGTGGTTCGAACGTATTTCCAGAAGCGATCGCTGTTTCAAGAATATCAAATCACTCGATACGCGAAAATTTCAAGAATTCGACGTGGAAACAGAACCTCGCGAAAAATGAACCTCTTCCAACGAGGAAGAGACGTAATTCAATCCTCTTCCTAATCAAACACGAAACGAAATATTCTCACAACCAACGACACTAGTAATCACACAACCAGCGACACGAAATCGCGACTGAATTCTAACGTTCGCAAAATTTTCCAGTGTTATTGAAAACTACAGGAAGCAACTGTTTCCTCGAATCTCGAACTCACCTTTGTTGTTACAGGAGGACTGTTATTTGTAATATCTATGGCGTGATCAGAAATGCGGGAAGCACGTGGCTCTAGCTCGAGGAGCGACCAGGATGGCAGGCACCTGTACAGGTGAGGAGCGCACGATTACGACACGTAGTTCGAGTGTCGCGTGGCTTGAACGAGACTGAGTCGTCTCGCGGCCCTACTCTACCTCTATATGTAGAATCTCCTTCCTCTGCCAGTCAGCTAGACACTCGGTCTCCCGTTACTTCTGCCAAATTGATCTTCGTACACGCTCGACACAGTTTCTCCACGCTTTGGACGGGACCACTCCACCTCTGTTCTCCCCTCCAATATCGCGCGCAACAAATTCGTTGTAACGAATTGCCCGGAGGATCATTGCGCGGAAAGGTTGTAATGGGACACCCTGTATACACGGGCTGTGCGCATATACGTATGTATGTAGAAATAAACACCTATGAATTGCAAAGAACTAACTCTTTAAATACGAAAGTTGTATGGAAAAATGATGCACGATCGTGAGGTTCGTGAATGCTCCTTGAATTATTATAAAATTGCTGATATTATGGAATTTTGTGAATTATTCGGTGAAAGTGAAACAATACTCGTCGATAAGGCTTACTAGCTATGAATACAAAATTACCAGGCGTATAGCTCTCCTTCCAACTTTATCTTCATAACATGGTCCTATCCCTTTGTTTGTTGTACCAATTTTGTGATTTCCGTTTAAATCTTCAAATAGCTTTTCCTTGTCCTTATGTACGCTAAGTATTAATGGACAGCTCTCGGATACCATCAAGTTGTTATAGTTTACGTCCACTCCTTTAACTTTCAATGACTCTATTTCTGAGATTAAAGCCTGTGAATCAAGAGCAACACCGTTTCCTATGATGGATATTTTGCCCGTTCTCAAAACAGCAGAGGGCAGTAAATTTAATTTATAAACCTCATCATCTATTACTATAGTGTGCCCTGCATTATTTCCTCCCTGAAATCTCACAGCTGCATCTGCATTCTCAGAAAGATAATCTACTATTTTACCCTTGCCTTCGTCACCCCATTGCAGACCAACAATTACAATGTTATTCATCATTATTTTCTAAATTAATACATAAATATTAATGCAGTACGCTACAAATGGAAAGAGAAATCTGCGCCTCTCGACGACAATAACCCTCTATGGGCCGAATATTTTTCTTGACTGTAAAAGAATTTATGTAACGTAAAATTAGGAAATATCGACCTATAAATACAGAGTAACAGTGAATTCAACAGTTTCGACAATTTTATCATAACGAATACATATTGTAACTTTGAAGTAACAACGGTTATCAAGAAAGTTACTACAACAAGACGTTTATGCCATTTTGTAGAAGAAAGTTCAATTATTTAATAAAATATCGATATATCAGTATGTGACTTGAAAGTTACACGGGCCCATAGAGGGTTAAATACCGATTACCGGACTGCGGATTTTCATGCGTTTATAGGAAATTTCAAGGTGCAAAAGGTTGCACAGTGTTGGATTATAAGGAGAAATGAGTATGTGTCTGTGTAATAGTAACGGCAAAAATAATCAACATACTGAGACAGATTAATATAAATATATATATAGAAATAACATAGTAACCATCAGTTTAGTATGGGTGACGCAGATACGTTTTTCTTTTCTCTGCGTCTTGCCGATGTTTTGTTTGATTGATTGCATAGCGACGTGCCTTCCTCGCGTACAAAAATAAAGAAGATTCATAATTAAAAGAATATCTTTTAATTTATTACCATAATTCTAACACACAGAATGCGAAAAATATACAGAATATCTAAATTATAGTGAGTTATATAGTACCTGGTGGGAGAAATAATTTTCTCGGTGGGAGAAGTAATCTATCGATTACCATTTGCCTTTCGAAAACTCATAAAGCTCACCTTGCTAATTTATTACACCTGTGTCGCGTTAACTGTTGCGTTTCCTAGTGTTCTCGAAATCGAATATGTCGGTTCATTTTGACTATTCAGAGGGGACTTCGATTTTATAGAAGCGGAACGTTTCTGAGGTTGAGGAATTCAGCTGTGTCCTTTTCAAGGGTTTGGAAAATTCTCCTTTTATCGTCAACATTGCAGTGTTCTCCGTGGATTTTGTGGTAAGCTTTGAAATTGAAGAAATTACGAGGCTCTGAAAGTGGTGCTCGGCTCTTCGCTGTTCTCCAAAATGGCGACTCTTGGTTCGCTCTTTCGATCTTGGAAGATTCTAAAAAATTGTAAAAATACAGTATTACATTGTCAAGTAAATTCTTCCTGAATATTTTTTGCATTTCTTCCACGAAAAAAAAAAGAAAAAAAAAACAGTATAGGAAAGTTTGGAAAATCTGGAGAAACATGGTAGCACGTGTTCTCATAACGATATCACTCGCTCGATTAACGTAACGAACCTCGCAAGTCTCTATCAGGTAATATTTCACCAGGGCTGAGAATTCGTAAGTAGCTCGTTCGTTATCGCTGTCCAATCGAAGATAACCAAGTGATGTTCGATCGATTATAAATCGAGAATTTCCATTTAGAAAATGATCGTTCGATCGGGCATGCCTCCTCTCGACCGCGAAATTCTTCCACTGGATCGTGAACTGATTAGGCGAATTATGCAACGACAAAAGGACATTTAACTGAAAATAACTTGCGAGTACCTGGCAACACCGCCATTTCTATTTTCAACAGATTGCTTTCGTGTACAGAAACGAATATCTTCAAATGGACAGCAGTCACTCGTCTTGAATTTCATAGTTATGACAATGTATCGAAATAAAACATTTCGAAACATGCGCAACCTTCTCTTCCCTTAAAAAGCATATTCTTCTTTTTGCAAATTTTTCACCGACCTAACGAATTCCGGTATTCAGTTGTGAAACGCCTCTTTTCAAAATCCAATATTTTTGCTTTGGAAATTTTTTCTTTTCCGATATTTTTTGCTTTGGAAATTT